CAAATTAAAACAATTTTCCTGTATGTCCAATGTCTACATCCAACGGTTTTCTAATGTTAGCATACATTCAGATCATTTGGAGAATTAAAAATGTACATTCCTGGGCCCAGCTTCCCTGACCTTCTGTTGTGGGAAAAAGAAATTCAAATTTTCAATCCCTCAAGTGAAGCGAATGTATCTGATCACACTCTGAAAATCATTATCCTAATAAAAAGGAATACTAAGGTGGAACATTTCTGGGCAGAAAGGTCTTTTAGATCTCTCGGTATGTAAGAAGATACAGATTTGTTCTATCATCCCAGAAAACAAAATGAAGAAATACAGACAAAAGTCATAAGAAGGTAGGTTGTCCTTCAACGCCAAGGTAAAGAGTCTCTCAACAATGCATGAGCTTCCTGGATGTAATAAGCTTCCCATCACTGTGGGAGCCAAGGAGAGGATGGATATGGTAGAAAGGAAGTACCCGGCAGACTAGGTTAGATTAATCTGCAACCCTGAGATTCTGGGACAAAAGGCGGCAAACCCAAATACCTTCATAGAGTACAAGACAGCCAGGTATAGGGAGCAGTGGTGAGCTAAAGAGGGCTTGCTCCTTTATAAAGGCATTCAAAATTTTAAAAATTATCACCCCAGACATACAGGTAGGTAGGACTCAGAGAAGTTCAGAACTCCTGTTTTATGAATTATTCCAAGTAAATAACTGCCTACTCAACTCCCAAATAAAGTAAGACCTTTTAGTTTTGGGAGGGTGTATTTTAAGAAAATATTTTAAGTGCAGCTTAATTCTGAACTATTGAGGGAGATTCCATGCCAGAGAAATCGTAGCTGAGGTATACATATATGTACATATATATTTCACTATTATAACCCTTCCAACCATTCTCTCTCCTAACGTTTCCCTAGAAGTCAAGATAACGCTTAGTAGCTTTCCTATTGGTATTGTTATCTAAAGATGACGTTATTTTCCTATTACACGCTGAATGCACACTAGGAGATAGCTCTAACCTCTAAATGTATTCTGATGCCAGTCGCCCAGCCCTCTTGGAGAAAAACTGGTGTAGAGACTTCAGTGGAAGAAGCTTCATTTCTTAGACTCATTCATCTTGTCAGCTTTTGTATTAATAAGAGATGCTCATCTCTTCTAGCATGTGAACTCTGATGAGTCTCTCCAACAAGCATGTTAGAGGCTCATCCCTCTGCTGAAGTACTGAATCATTCACTATTCTGAATCCACTACAGTAGTTGCTAATTAACTGTAGAAAGTATTAATTTGGCCTTGTTTGGCCAAAGAAGCTGGGCAATGCCTATGGGTTCCAGTTAGCAGAAAGGATGAAGAAATTTTTCCTCTCAATGTAATTATTTCCTTCCATATCTATCTCTGTGTTTCTAGTGAAGTATCCCCTCAATAGAGAGCTATGCATGATCTCAATGCTCACCACTACTAGTTGATCGTGTTTCATGAGCAGATCAATGCATTGTTGGAGATTCAAAGCCATAATAACAATGCTGTTAAAGGTGACAAGGTGTTTTTTCTCAGAATTCCTATTTCTACTCACAAAGAGAAAACCACCACGATTAAGGCTAAAAATATTCATACTATTTCTTGTCCGTATATGATATAGATCACAAAAGAGGGTATACCAATGGCTGATAGACAAAAGAAATGGTACTCAACTTCAAGAACCATCAGGACAATAAAAACTAAACCCATAATTTGGTACTGCTTCATCCTCATCAATCAGAGTGGCTCAAATGGAAACAACAGACAATAGCAAGTGTTGGTGAGGATGTGGAGCAACTGGAACTCTCACACTCTGCTGTTTCCATATCCTGTGACCCAGCAACTTCATTCTTATGTTTCCGATAGGATGTGGCCATAAGTTCACCAAAAGGCACATACAAGAACATTCAGCAGTACTCTCATAACAGCCTCAAACTGGAAACGATTAGATGTCCATCAACAATGAAATGGAAAGCGTGTAGAATATTCATACAGATGGATACTGTGTGATTCTACTTATGTAAAATATTAAAATAGGCAAAATTAAGCTATGTTGGAAGTTAGGATCATGGTAACTTCTGATGGGTAGTGACGAAGAAGGTGACACAGAGGGGTCTTCTTGGGCACTGGTGATGTCTTGCTTGATCTGGTTGATGGTTAGATGAGTGTGAACTGTGTGAAAATTCATTAGGCCATATTCTGATTTTTACATTTTTCTGTATATACATTTTGTACTTTTTTGTGTATATATTATATGTCAACTCAATGCTACAAAAATTAACACAGAGCGGTGTCTCGGTTTCTCGGTTGTGTCTCTGTCTTTATTATTTTTTATTTTTCAATAGAGTATAGGTACATGTGTTTAACAGGGTCATGGGGAGGCAGACAATGAAATGAAATAAGCTTGACGCTCTCCTTACCCCATAACAAGTGGGCTCTGCTAGGGCCAACAGACTGGATAATCAATCAGATGCATATAGATGGTAGTGGTCTTAGAAATCATTTTACATGGTTCAGGAGAGGAAACTGGAGTCTAGAGAAATAAAGTTAATTAAGTGTATGTAGCTGGTTTGAACAGTAGGACAGAATCTAAGTTTCATGATTCCAATTTAAGTTGGCCTTATACGCAGACAGATGTGATTGTTAATTACTCTTTCACATCCATCACAAATTAACCCTTTCCCTGTTTGCCTTGAGAATACTAGCTGGCAGTGCTTGCATCTGCAGTGTTTACCCTGAGATAACTCGTGGATTACAATCCAAAATTTAGCCCCAAAGTCTGCCATGAAATATCTTGCTTTTATTATTTTTGCATTGCTCTAGAATATTGATAGTCTTTGGAAACAAATGACACCATTCTATTTATAGCATTCTGTTTTTAGTAGTTCGATTGCTGAAAATGTCAAATCCTAGAAAACGTAGCATTCCTAAGCGTGATGTTCCATGAATGATGGCAGCAAGCTGCACTTTTTATTTTTCTAAATGGGAAAAGGGTTAACTTGCCGTGTTATTATGTGTTAAGTAATCACTTGCTCCCTGTTCAGAAGAAAATCTCTTTAGGAGAAATAACATGATGTTTATTAACATGAGACCATCAGATTTCCTATCGCTCACAGAGTGAAATCCTGAGAGCGCTAAACACGAGGAGACAAAGTTTTGCTGGAACTAGTACGCGCATGGAGCAATTATGCCCTTCTAGGAATGCCTGTAGCACGTGAGAAGTCGCTTGATCCCCACAGCCCTATCATGTAAACACTCATTAGTCCCGTTTTAGAGATGAAGAAACTAAGATACGGAGATTAGTAACTTGTCCAAGGTCCTATTAGTATCTGCTGGTGTGAGAAGGACCCTGGGAAGACTGCTCTTAAACACTGTGTCATGTAGGATGGGGATAGTTTAAGCAGCTATGGTGGGGTGCCTAAATTCCTTCTGAAGACATCAGGATACTGGAATAGACAGAAGAGAGGGAAATATGAGAGGATGCCCCTCAAAAGAGCAGGAGACTCATGACAACAAAACCCAGATGTATTCATGTTCGTGCGTGTACACATATGTTACAATTTACAGGTCATCAGTGAACCACAAAGATCATTTAAATGGATCAAGCTTAGTTGGGAATCATTAAATCTTTGCTTCCCTTTGTACTTTAAATACTATCCCAAATACTGTGACTCTTGTGGTACTAAAAGATTTTAGCTAAATTTCAATACACAATATGAAAAAAAAAGTTAAAGTTTCAACTAGCCAGGAACATGGGCTCATTCTTGGTCATCCAAGCCACCCTCTCTTGCTATGTGTCATGATATACCACGTACATTACTAACCACATACTCAATGGGCTATCTCATGTTTTCCTTCTTCTAGTCATCCCAGAGTATGACCATCATGTGTCTACACACACACACACACACACACACACACTCTCTCTCTCTCTCTCTGTCTCTCTCTCCTGTCAGTTTAAGACAATTCTCAACTGCAATGCAGAATGAAATCAACCCAAACACCATTTACTGCCTCTCTCTCCCTCTCTCCCTCTCTCCCTCTCCTGTCAGTTTAAGACAATTCTCAACCCAAACACCATTTACTGCTTCATCTATTTGAAAGAATTCTGAGACAAGTATCTTTTACACCAGAGGTCCCAACGCCCCGGGCCTTGGACAGGTACCAGTCCAGTAGCCTGTTAGGGACCCGGCTGCACACAGCAGGTGGTGAGCAGCAGGCAAGTGAGCAAAGCTTCATCTGTATTTGCAGCGGCTCCCCAGCACTAGCATCACCACCTCAGCTCCACTTCAGATCATCAGGCATTAGATTCTCATAGGAGCACTGGTCCCTGGTGCCAAAAAGGTTGGGGATCTCTGTTTTATACCAATATTCTTGGCCTGATGCTCAACAGATGAGGATTGCACATAGGGGAAATAACACGTCCCAAATGTTTCCAAATGTTCCTCTTCTCTGAATGGCACACTTAACTCTACCAGCCTTGAACATATCACACTCTAAAAGAACGTCCTTACATGAGCAGCACAACACAGGACAGATTAGTTCAAAGACAAAAGGCCTCCCTTCTACAGTGAAGGTTGAGCTTAACAGGGCTGCCGACTGCAATTTTGCACTGAAATACAGTTTTCCTATTTCAAAGCAACATAGAGGCATGCAGCTTGTTAGATTTATATAATGCCTGGTCTCTCAAGACTTTACAAAACGAATGGCATCCATCAAATTAATTTCCTTGGGGATCGTCTCAAACATGGAGAATGAAGAGGCCCAGACCATTAAACATCAAAAGAATGTTCTAAATGGTAATTAGAGTTCTATTATATTTTCTTTTTCTGGGAGCAGATTAGATTAATTCAATTGAGAATATTATAAGTATCAAAGCTGACAGTGTGAATGTGTCGTGTTGGCTGAAAGAGCATTTAATATTGCAGACATCTGTTCATTCGAAGTTATACAACACACACACGAAAGAGGGAACTGACTCAGAGGGTGAGGTACTTACCAAGCCGGCACACGTAGACACAGCGACAGAGGAGGAGCTGTCATTTCTGATAAATCCCTGATAGAAACATCGCTGCACCGTGGGTCCCCGAGTCTCTGAAGCACCATCTTTTCCAAGTACCTGGACAATAAAGTGACTGCTCAAAATCGCCGAGGGCTTAAGTTCTAAATGTAGTTCCTGTCCAAATGCTGAAAATCGGTAATGCAGGGAGCTGCTGGCACTCAGCGCCGATCGCTTTTTCCTGCCGTTGTGCAAAATGTCGTGTGAAATATATGACCCGCCCGAGTCCACTTCTACCGGTGTGACAAAGACGTAATCTGCAAGGGGAAAGGTTTAGCTGTCAGCACCCAGAGCCCACAACGCCAAACAGTCACTTCCCAACAGGCTGGCAAAGAGCAGTGCAAGCTTGAAGATCATCTTTGTTCTATTGCCATGCCCCTCGATTAAATATAATTCAGAGCAGCTCACGAAGAGGAGAACCCTGTGGTCTTTACAATTAGCCACAGTAATTCCTGTAAAAACTAAAAGTCAAGCTCAATCTTGATAAATGTCAACAACGTTTGAGGAAAATGCCACAACTCTCATGGTCTGGGGAGAGACAGAGGAACTTTTTATATTACCCAAAGAGCCATCTATACATAAAAATTGATTTTTTTTTTTGGAGATGAAATAAATATAAAACCACAAAAGTGATTTTTTTTTTTTTAAAGGTTACTATCTTTGTGTTATACTGCATCGGGAGCATTTGGGAAGGGGCAGAATTTAAATTTCAAATAACTCACAGCGATGAGTAACTTGAAATAATACCTCAGATAATTAACAAGTAACCACATATTTTCATATTTCATAGTTTCATATTTCCAATTAATTACACATGACAATAAAATTCCAGAACTTGTAGTGCTCAACATTTTACTACAGGCTTTCACGGGGACAATCCCATGTAATTGTAAGCACAAAATATAGTGGATGCATAAAAATGCCTCAACATTGTCAGAAATTTTCCTATATAGTCTGATGTTTAAAATTGCTCAGACATGTTGTCAGATCAGGGACACCTGGAAAGGCATGTTTAAAAATACCTTCACCGCTGCTCCCTAGAGCAGCACTAATTGCTGCTTGTTCTAGAGGAGGAGGAGCTAAAAACAATTTGCTGTTTGAAAAAATGAAGCCAGCCCACTGTTTTCTATCACAAAACATTGAAACTGAAAAGCATCATTCCACAAAATGATTTGGAATATGTCCTCTGCGCATTAAAAAACGCTCTGCATTTCCACTTTCTAGGCACAGAATGGGAAACTAATTTGGAAAGTTTTTAGAAAGATTCCGAATAACAGCCATGTTTGAGTCACTTGGGTTCTAAGTTATAAGAGGAAAAGAAAGCAGAATTTCCCTATTCCCCAAATAGTCAACAACCCCCACCACACACAGACCAAAAAAAAAAAAAAGCCCTATACCTAGCAGGTGTCATCAATAAGTAGTATTCTAATTGGGCCTACGTTTGCAAAAACAATCTGAATATGACAATTTTCATATTTCTTCTGTATGACCATTTGTGACTCTTACTGCTTGAGCAACTCTTGTTCTTACAATATTGTTTATGTCCTGCCTCCCCTATCTCGCCTCCTTTAACTAGAACTATCGAATTGACATGCATATTCAAAATCCATTGATAGGGTTTTTCTTCCTTAACCTTAAAAAAAAACAAAAAACAAAAAACTGAGGTGTACACTATTTCTCTTATTTTAAGAATCTCTATTATGTTGCTTTACAGGTATGTGGCTCTTGATTAAATGCAGCTTTTTCTGAGTAAAAACAACCCACCTCCTCCCTTACCAAAAAACTGTGAAAACCATCCCTGACGCATGCTCCAGGCAGCATCTCTACAATAGTTGTTTCTTACCTCCTTGTCCAGAACCGTATGAAACTGCCTGCTCTTAGCTAGAAGGCCATGCAGGAACCTTCCAGCCAGCCTTGAATGGAATCAGCTGGCAAAGCCCCCCACCCACCCCAGACACCTGCTACTAGTTTGTTTCCAAGGAAAGAATAAGCTGGCTGATGGCAATATTCAGTTCTTGATGGGAAGAGGTGATCAGAGGCCCCTGTAGAAAATGATATGACCAGTCATTTCACGGGCTGACTAAAGATGAGGTCCTTACAGGTGGTGGAACAGAGGGGACCTGCATGCAGCCATTTGACCCTGACCGAACAATGGGAGGTTGTTTTGGAAACTGCAGCCGGCCTTCCTGGTTGGATAAAAGGTGAATTTCTCAAGAGCTGATTCCTGACTCTCTCCTGTCCCCTCACTCACCCCCTTCCCCCTGGCACAGCCTTCTCCAGGCTCTGCCATTACCCCCTTCCCCAATATGACCCTTTGTCCCCTGACAGGAAAAAGAGATAACCCTGGAAGGCTAAAAATTAGAGAATCTGGTTGGACATCAAGGTCTTGCGAGACACCTTGGATGAGGGATCAGCGGTTCTCCTGCAGCAAGTAGGAACAATGGAAACAAGGATTTCCTTCTGGGCGCCATCAATAAGTTAATAAATGACAGACTGAAGGGGATTGTGGAGCTTTTCAGCAAGGGGACCTCAGAAGAGATAAAGACCCCAGAGACCTCAAGCTACCTGCTTTCCTCTCTAACAGTGGTCTTTGAGAATCCAGAACACATAAGAGAAATAGAAAGAGAAGGAAAGGAAGACAAGGAAAGGAAGTGGAGAGCAGAGTGAGGGGGAAAGATGGGAGAAGGAAATGGCTCATATTCTTTCATCCCCAGCCACGAATTAGTTCCTGCCGCTTTCCCAGGTGAGGAAGGAAACAAGGAAAGTGCCTTTGGACAGACCGTCTTAGTCAATGCCCCCTTCCGAATTTCTCACTGTGGTACAATTTTTTTTTTTTTTTTTAAACAAGCCATCTGTGAACAAGGGAAAGTATTGTTTTTTCATTTATGTCACTTGAAGCTTGGGATATTGATTTTTTTTTTTGATAAGTTCAGCGTCCTTGCCACAGCTCCCCCTCTCTAAACAGGAACCATTTCCATCCAAGACGCACACACACCTGCCACATTGGGGGCAAGGTGGGGGTGAGCTTTTCTACCTTTTCTCTTTTTTGGGGGGGTGGGGAGGAGGGAAGGAAGGACGGGACAAAGTGCCTGGACAAGTCTTTCTGAGGGTGGAGGGTAAATACGAACCATGGTTTAATCCGCCGCCACCGCCGCTGCTGTCACTGGCTAAGGCTGCGGCGACCGACGCGCAGCAGAGGCAGCACAGCTGGAGCGCCTGCAAGAGAAAAGGTGACAACAAGCATGAGAGACGCGGCAGGGCTTGCACCTGGTGTCCCCTGCCACCCGCTCTCGGCGAATCCCTCGGTGGGCACCTGCCTTGGCCACGCGCCCCAGTCCTGCCGCCCACGGCG